TTGGGCTGACGACCAGGCTACGCAGCGGTCGTCACAGGGTTACACCTTCAGCCTTGGTTCCGGCTCTGTCTCGTGGCGGTCTACTCGCTCGTCTTCGGTTCTCGGCTCCAGTTGTGAGGCTGAGATCTACGCCGGGGCCATGGCTGCACAGGAGCTTCGCTGGCTCACCTACCTGCTGACTGACCTTGGAGAGCCGCCTCGTTCTCCTCCAGTGCTGTACGTAGACAACAAGGCTATGCTGGCCTTGTGTCGAGAGCAGCGCTTGGAGCACAGAACGAAGCACATTGCTCTCCGCTACTTCCTTGCTCGTGAGCTGCAGCAGCGTGGTCAGTTGCGACTTGCGTACGTGGCCTCTGAGGCCAACACTGCTGATGTGTTCACCAAGGCACTTGCGCCTTGTGACCATCAGCGCTTCTGCACCCAGCTGGGTCTTGTGCCTGTCTTGCCTCACTTGCTCTCCTCTTGACTTCACTTGTACTGTGACATATATATATACCTGCTCTTGCTTGTCTAGCTTTATATATATGTCTGTACTCTTGCTTGTGAACTGGCCTTTGGCCTTGCTCTTGTGCTCGGACTGTGTGGTGACTTTGTGATCCACCCTGAGCTTTGCTTTGTCTTGCTTGACTGGTCTTGTGACCCCTTGTTCTCCCCCACTTTGCCTATGGGGGTGTGTCAGAACATATCTATAGCTTATACTGCTGTGTAGGCTGTAGTGGGGTATCCCATAGGGGGTACAACCCAGTTAGGGTTTCATATTTGTACTGCTTTCATTCATAGTTCATTCATTTCCTGTTTTCCTATTATCACAGTGTTCGCTTGTATGGCTCACGCAGATTCATGCATCACAGGCTCACCTCCAGCCTTTGCTCCAGATGAAGTCCCGGAGGAAGTTCCAACGAATCTTCAAGTCAACCCACAATACGCCAGTGTCGCAGCTACCGCCAAATACGGTCCAGGTTAGGGTAAAATTCTGGAAAACAAAAGTTACACTGATTGTTGAATTAATCTTCGCAATTCACACTAATAATCAAGGTTTTGGTAAAAAACTAGATTGATAATCAGAGTAGAAAATATGTATGTGTGTGTATATAAATATAATCCCTAATCAGAATATTATGCTTGTCTAGTCTGTAGTGGGGTACTCAATAGTGAGTATAACACTTTTGGGCTTGTTATTTGTACCTCCCCTCCTTTCTAGTTCAAACCTCTTTTGCCTATTCTCTCTTGCCTAGCTTGCTAAACCCTAGCTATGGCTCCTTCATTCTAGCTACTATCGTGCCACAGAAAAATTTGACGGCGGATTAACAGCCCAACCCCGCTGAGAACTCGGAAGAGACAAAGACAATGTGCACTGTTGCCCCGGAACAAGTGATACAACGACTATCAACATTGGAGCAAGGGCTCCAAACTTTACACGATGGCGACGCATAAATGTTCTCTCAACCTGCACAACCAGTCAAATGATGATGCCATCCTCTCGGCTCAATCAAAGTTCTTGAAAATCTCAAAATTCAAGACAATCACCATATTGGACGAGAAATACTACTTGGAGCTTCAAGTTAATGTTACTGCTGCAAAACGCGCAAAAGCTACCCACTACTTTGACAGAAGCTACACATGCCCAGCGACGAGCACCAACGACGCTATAACACAGTATAACAATGACTAGCTCATGGTGTAGAGTGTACGTTTACGCAATATGTCGCCTACGGAGCAACTTGGCATTCACTCGTTTAGGGCAAATCCGCCTCCAGAATAGGAGGCATAGAGATACCTCACGAAGTTGTACCAGCCCAAGGACTCCGTGTCATTGAGAAGGCTCCTCCAGAAGCTAATGGAGGTGAAGATGGGGCCAGAAGAGAAAGCGAATTAGTACATCAACCGCTGTTGGAGCATCCGCGATCAAATCGTGAAACACGGAAGTGCAATATCAAAAGATATAGTTGTCACAATTGTGCTGGCGGGACTCGGACCTGAGTGGAGGCTCTACAAGGTGCTACTCCGCCAACAGGGAGCAATATTGGAAGCCTCCCTATGCACCGACCTTCTCGTTGAACAGCAAGACATGGACATGCACAACGAACGCCTCGCGACGCAATGATAAAGCATGCTTTCTACACTAACAACAAAGAAGAGCGACGACCAAGGCGCCTTAACTCTGCCACTTGGCAGAGCGATGCAGATTCCAGTCCAACTCTCGCCACCCAAGCTCCTCCCAAACCAACAATTGTGTTGACAGCTATAACGATATGCGGAGGCACTTAAACTGGAACTACAGACAAAGCTCAGCAACACTTAACATCACTTGTAGCCCTTCGAGCGTGACAGCCTGTCACCTCCTAGCCAAGGGCGTAATAAATCGCAAGTGAGTAGTTATGCCTTACTCATGCTTGTAGAACAAGTAAACTCGTCAAGCCAAGATTCGGGAGCACCATGATCGTTTCTACTCTCGTCAATACGAAGTAGTAGAATTCAAACTTGAAAAACTGCGAATGCATTGAGACTTGTTTCGACAAGTACAAGCATACATTTATATAGATTCTACGCACAGGCAAGGGCAGGCACAAAACAGTTGTTCAACGAATCCAAAAGATTTCGCCACGCAGTATTTGAAAACGGTTGCTCAACTCCTTGAGCATTTGGCTTTATCCTCCTCTTGTTTGAAACCGTCTTCAAACTGTACTTGTAACAGTTTGCCCCTGTTGACTAATGTGTGCACTCATGAGACTCGCATGTGGCTCCAATGTCTTCATGCGAGCTCACTGTTATATAACGGTTTTTACCGTTTGAAAAACGGAGTAACCGATTTGCACCAGTGTCGAAATGATTCCGCAAAGCGAAATGACTTTCGCGAGAAATTTCCCGTCCCGTGAGTCAACTCGGAAAACAGTTTTTCAACTGTAAATTCCGAGCACCCCTCAGTACACCACCCGCTCGCATGAAACCCAAATGAGCCTCGCATGAAAATTCAAGACTCATGGGACTTTCATGGTCGCTCGCATGAGCCTCGCATGAAACATTGAAGTCCCATGCGTGCTACATTTGAGCTCCATAATATCTTCATTTGAGCCTCATTTGAGGGCTTCGCATGAGTCTCATTTGAGAGCTTCGCATGAGTCTCATTTGAGCACATCATGAGGGCCTCATTTGAGCGCTTCATGGGAGCTTCATGAGAACAGTGAAAACGAAACTGAAAATGCAAAAACACAAAATGCAATTACAAATGAAAACGAAACACACAAAATGCAAAAACAAATGTGCACAGAACACACACAAAATGCGCACACACAAAATGCAAAATGAAATGACATTTCTCACGCCACAAATTACCTTCAAACAAGACTCCCCATTTTCTTTTACCGTCGTCGAATAGTCGGCAGGTTGATGTGCAAATAAATATTTGCACCCAACAAATTGGGCCGGCCGAAATGACACAACAGCAACAACAGCAACAACAGCAACAACAACAACAACAACAACAACAACAACAACAACAACAACAACAACAACAACAACAACAACAACAACAACAACAACAACAACAACAACAGCAACCGGCACAACCTGGGGGCACCAGAAACGTCATCAACAATATGGGTCGACTTCGCCAAAACCACCTGGGACAAAGCTCGCACACCCCTACAGAACTTCGTTGTCCAATTACCAGGTTGACCAGAAGACGACGCTAAAGCGGCTCGACTTCGTCATAAGTCGGTGCCATGTCGATGGTCACCTTCATTGACCGCCGAGACCCGACGCCATTCGCCGAATTCGTCGGCTTCACTGTGGTTGACTTTGTCATGGCTGACTTCAATGTGGTCGGCTTCACCAAAGTCGGCTCACCAGACCAGCCGACTTGCTCTTCCAAGTCGGTGTCGTCCAAGAAGTTCAGACGGCTGCACAAATTGCACACTGGACAACAAAGTCGGCTTCGCAGTTTGGTGACATCGGCTTTGCAGTAGGCGTCACCGAAGTCGGTCAACTGTAGAATTTGTCTCCACCGAGGTCGACCAAGCAAGCCTAGCCAATCACACAAGCTGACTTCGCCCAAACGAGAGGGGTGGGGCCTTTTATCGTCAACAAGGGGTTGGGAGGACGAACAAAAAAAACGAGGGAAACGGAACCCACAGCTGCCCCTCTCACTGCACTCATAACTGCCCCACTCACTGCACTCATAACCTCCCATAGCAGCACACCATAGCTGTGGTGAGAAAACCAGCACATGGAGAAATAGAATGACGCTATGAAGTGAGAGGATGACTGGCTTCTATCTTATCACGTCCAGCAATGCATGTGAATGGTCTAAGATGCATGTCTCAAAGCACCATGAGATCAGTGGAATGGTTTGTGCGATTGAAACTCACACCTTTTTCTACTTGTGCCGAGTCGTTTTTCTTTGGCCCTTTTGTCCACGGTGGGGTGGGCTTGCTTAGTTTCCTATTTCTGCCCCTTTTTCAAGCACCCACCGGTGCACATGAGCCATGGGGGTGGCCTTGCTGGTGCGCGAGAAAGCCTAGTCAACATAGCCTGAAGTGCTCATAATTTCCACTCTTATGTTGTGTCTCCTGTTCTCCAACCTTCTTCATCTTACTACCCTTTTCTCCCTCTGCTTTCCCTGCGATTGATTATCTGCTCCCTGCATACTTTCACGCCACTCCTTCTCAGAATAGGTAGCGTGAATGGATTGAACTATGAATCAAAACAGAACAAGTACCAACCCTAATTGGGTTGTACCCCTTATGGGCTACCCCACTACAGCCTACACAACATGCATCAGCTATAATAATCTGACACACCCCCATAGACAAAGTGGGGGAGAACAAGGGGTCACAAGACCAGTCAAGCAAAGCAAAGCAAGCTCAGGGTGGATCTCAACGTCACCACACATTCCGAGCACAAGTTCAAGGCCACAAGGCCAGTTCACATGCAGGAGAGCATATATATAACAGTGCTAAACAAGCAAGAGCAGGTATATATATGCAACAGTACAAGCAAGGTCAAGAGGTAAGCAAGTGAGGCCCAGTGGGCACAAGGCCAAGAAGAGTGCAAAAGCGCTGATGGTCACAAGGCGGAAGCGCCTTGGTGAAAACATCAGCAGTGTTGGCCTCAGTGGCCACGTAACGCAGACGAAGCTGACCACGCTGCTGCAGCTCTCGAGCAAGAAAGTAGCGGAGAGCAATGTGCTTCGTCCTGTGCTCCAGTCTGTGCTCCTCACAAAAGGCAATGGTTGCCTTGTTGTTGACGTACACCACTTGAGGAGAACGAGGCCGCTCTCCAAGGTCAGTCAGCAGGTACGTGAGCCAGCGTAGCTCGTGGGCAGCCATGGCCGTGGCGTAGATCTTAGCCTCACAGCTGGAGCTGAGAACAGAAGAAGAGCGCGTAGAACGCCAAGAGACAGAGCCAGAACCAAGACTGAAGGTGTAACCCTGAGACGACCGCTGAGTAGCCTGTTCGTCCGCCCAGGAAGCGTCTGAGTGACCAGTGAGAACAACCCGGTCTCGCCCTCCAAGCACTAGCCCCATGCCCGACGTACTGCACAAGTAGCGCAACACCCTCTTAGCTGCATCCATGTGCTCCTTCCGGTGACGACCGGAGCGACATAGCGTGCAAGGATGCTAAGAGGGTATGCGAGGTCAGGTCGCGTGCAGGTCATCAGGTACATGAGGCAGCCCACAAGCTCTGGATACGGGCCACTCGGCTCTACGGACTCATCCGAAGGCAGAGCTGAGAGCGAGTGACCTGTAGGCAGAGGAGTGGACTGAGGCGAGGAGTACGTGAAGCCGAAGCGCTGAAGGACCTGCTGCACCATGTGTGATTGAGTTAGGGTGATGGTGCGCCGTGCTCTGTCCCGAGTGATCCGCAAGCCAAGATAGCTTGTCAGTTTACCCAGGTCTGTGCACGTGTGTCTCTTCTGCAGCTCGGACTTCACGTGGGCGAGTCTAGTAGTGTCCGCAGTGGCAAAGACCAAGTCGTCGACGTACACGAGGATGTAGAACGGCGGCAGCGAGGTGTCGGTGCGTAGAAACAACGACGGGTCAGCAGTAGAGGGAGCGAACCCAAGAGCCGCAAGTGTAGTCCTCAGTGTGTCGTGCCACTCGCGTGGCGCCTGGCGAAGACCGTAGACTGGCCGCCGGAGGCTCCACTGGGTACCAGGAAGGAACGACCCAATGAAGCCAGGAGGGCGGCGCAGCCAGATCTCCTCGTGCAGGCTGCCGTGTAGGGAAGCAGTGCTGAAGTCAAGAGAGTGGAGCTCGTAGTCACACTGAGCGGCGACGTGCAGTAGAACCCGAAGAGTGGTCATCTTCGGGGTCGGGGAGAAGTTCTGGAAGAAGTCAACTCCCTGCCGCTGACTTAAGCCACGAGCCACGTAACGCGCCTTGAAGAAGGGCGGAGAACCCGGCGGCCGCTTCACCCTGAAAATCCACATGCCACTGACGATGTTCGCCCCAGGTGGGGGAACCTCATCGACGTAGGTGCCTGTGGACTTCCAGGAAGCCATCTCTGCGTCCATGGCTGACTGCCACTAAGAGGAGTAGGGACCGGCCGTCGCCTCTGCGTAAGAGCGTGGGGTCGGGATGTCTAGAGCATCCGGGTCTCCCTCAGGGGCAACAAGCATGGACACGAGATGGGGTAGAGCGGCGGCAAAGCACTGCAACTCATCCTGCCTGTCCTCAAGGACGTCCGTGCGAAGAGCACACTCACCCTTAACGGACGGAGAACAGGCAGACTTAGACTCAGCAACAAGACTCGCGGCATAGTCTAGACGACAGGCGGCAGCAAAGTCGACCAGCTCAGCAACTACGGCAGACGCAGCAGCGAACTCAAAGGAAGGGTTAGTGACAACAGTAGCAAGGAGACGCGTGATAGTAGGACTGGCAGCACGAAGAGAGTCCGACTCCGGGTCGGCAAGAGCAGGAAGAGAGGACTGAGGAGGAGAAGGCAAAGGGGCACGCAGAGGAGCAGTGGACGGACGTAGAGACATCCTGTCCGTGCCAGGGACAGGAGGAGGACGCTGACGCGAACCGCGACCACTAGGGCGAGCAGCACGGACAGGCGACGCAGGGCAAGACGCAGGCTCACGACGCTCAGCAAGACCTCCAGTAGGACCAGTGTAGGGAGACGGAGCAGGCAGTGGGGAGGCGGGCTGTAACTGTAACTGCGACGGGACAGACTGCGGACACTCTAAGGGAGGAGAAGGACTAGTGGAAGACGGGAGTCCAAGAACCTGCTGAAGGAGCGGAACGAAGTACGGCCGAGGCTGCTCAGCAGCTCCAGACACAGCAGAGACAGCACCAGCACCTCCAGAGGCAGCACCAGCACCAGTAGCAGCTCCAACTCCAGCACCTCCAGCAGCGCGAGTAGTACCCCCAGCAGGACCACCTCCAGGACCGACAGCAGTAGCCTCCGCGCCAACACCTGCCGCAGCTCCAGCTCCAGAGGTACCCACAGGTCCGGCAGCTCTAGTACTCCCAGTACGAGCACCTCCAGGACCCGCGGCACCAGCTCCCTGAGTAGCAACAGAACCTCCAGTGCCCGCAGTACCTCCAGCTCGAGCAGCTCGCCTCCAGCTCAGGGCAAACCACTCATGCAGCTCCAGTGGAGAGAGAGGCTCCCGGCGAGAAGAAGGACCCGGAGAGCCGGCAGGAACAGCACCAGCAGGCTCAGCACCCCCATGCGTAGCACCCCCAGGCTCAGCACCCCCAGGCTCAGCACCCCCAGGCATAGCACCCCCGGGCTCAGCACCCCCAGGCTTAGCACCCCCAAGCGTAGCACCCCCAGGCTCAGCACCCCCAGGCTCAGCACCCCCAGGCTCAGCACCCCGAGAGGCAGCACCCCCAGGCCCAGCACCCGAAGCAGCACTAGAGTCACCAGTGACCTCGACAGGCTCAACAGCGTCTACCTGGGACACACCCGAAGGGGCAGGACCCTGAGGGGGCAGGGGGTCGACCGGGGGGGGACCTGGGACAAGGAAGAGCGGTGGGGGGGGGAGGGACGGAGTGCGGTAGGGGAAGAGCCGATAGTAGGGGACCGACTCGTCGAACATGACGTCCTGGGAGGACAGAACACGACGAGAGGTGGGGTGGTAGAACTGCCACACCGATGCGTCAGGGGGGAAACCCAGGAAGACGCAGGGAGCAGCACGAGGGGACAGCTTGTTCGCAGACAAGTCGCGGACAAACGCCCAAGATCCCCAGACATGGAACGCAGACGCATCGCCAACCTTCCCCGTCCACAGCAGAGCTGGGGAGGTCTCCGGCATGGAGACCCTGGGCTGAAGGTTGATCTGATGCGCCGCGTACCGAACCGCAAACGGCCACAGAAAATGGGGGGCAGCCGCATGCATCATGGACGTATGAGCGACGTCCATGACCATGTCGATGCGGCGCTCAGCAATCCCATTCTGCTGTGGAGAGTCCGGAAGCGTGAAGGTCAGGCGGATGCCTCATGCACGACAGTAGGCTCGCAGAAGGCCAGAGGAGAACTCTCCGCTTCTGTCGGAGTGCAGACGCAGAACAGGAAAGTCCGAGCCGAAGCTCCGCCTAAGCTGGAGACGAGCTGCGCGGATCCAGTCGATCAACACCTCAGTGACATCACCCTTGCTGTGCAAGGGGAAGACTGTGGTGTAACGCGAGTAGTCGTCAACCACCAGCAGGAAGTAGCGCTCGTGACCCTGTCCACGGACGCGGGCTGAGCCCCACACGTCCATGTGAAGCGTCTGCAGTGGGGCCTCTGTCGGAGGAAACTGGGAGGAGTGGGGGGTAGCCCGCTGCCGTCCCTCAACACAAGGAACGCAGGTCGGGCCAGGCCCCGGAGGAAGGGGAGGGAGGGACTGGGGAAGACCAGAGACAAGGACACGGGAGGCCATGCTCCGGAGACGAAGCAGGGAGGAATCACCAAGACGGTGGTGCCAGAGGAGAGTCTTGTGAGACAGGAGGCGACACGAGCAGGGGGCAGACTCAGGACCAGACCTGGACGCAGCAGCAAACACCTGACCGGACGCAGCTACCTGGCCAGACGCAGGGACAGGAGGAGACTCAGTGGTGAGGGTGTAGAGACTGGACCCTGGCCGACGCGTAAACGTGGCCAAGTGTCGGCCTGTGTCCGCGTCCGTGCAGTGGGTCACCCGCTGGCGCGCAGGGGTGAACTGGTCAACCCCCCCATCCTGTAGGTCAGCACCCGCCACCAAGTTCGTAGAGAACGAGGGGAGGTAAAGGCCTGACAGGGAGCCAGACGGGACCGCAGGGCACGGAAGGACAGTGGAGTAGTGAGCCAGAACAGGACCCCCAGAGGGGTCTGCCAGGGAGACTGCAACTGGCCGACTAAGCGGCGTGAGTGTGGTGCGGTCTCGAAAGAAGGAGCGAGACGCCCCCGAGTCAAGTGTGAAGGTGTGGGAGGCCGGAGCCGACGCGGTACCTGAGAGAGCAGACTCACTAGCACGTGAGGAAGCAGACTCACTGGCACCTAGAGCAGCAGCCTCACCAGCACCTGGAGTAGCAGCCTCACCAGTACCTAGAGCAGTAGTCCCAATGCCCGGGTTGGGCGGGAAACACCGGTAATAGTCACCCTCATCACTAATAGTTACAGCATACATGGCACAAAGAATAGCATCAAAGTCAAGATCAAAGATAGCTACTCCTGCCCTAGACAGCTGGTCCCAGCGAGGGATCTCAGTGGCGTCAGGGAACTGGCGACGCCAAGCGTCAGTCAGGCGGCCAAAGCAGCGCTGGGTGGGGTGCAGACCCCCACACGGCTCACCCGCACGGTCGCCAGTGCGCAGGACGTAGGTGCACAGACCAGTACCCCCACCTCGCTGGCGTGCAGCGTACCATTCACGGAGCTACTGAGGGGAGAGGGTCTCCTGACTGCGCTGCTGCTGCTGGCGCTGAGGACCACCGGAGTCACTCCTCTGCGACGAGCCACGACCTCCTCCTCCTCCTCCTCCACCACCGCCTCCACCACCTCCGCCACCGCCACTACCTCCACTCCCACCACCGCCGCCGCCGCCGCCGCCGCCTCCGCCTCCACTGCCGCCACTGACACCTCCGCCCCCGCCACCACTCCCACCACCACCCCCACCTCCTCCGCTGCCTCCACCGCCGCCTCCACTGCCCCCGCCAGCTCCTCCAGCGCCCCTGCCCCCCTTGCCTTTGCCAGAGCGACGTCTCCCACTAGGGGCAGGCGCCGCACCGACCGACTCTAAACCAACGAGGTCGGTCGTAGCAGCAGAGGCAACGGAGGGCAAAAGGGGGGAGGGGGAACACCCCTCAAAGATGGGGGTGCGCAGGTCACCACGAGAGGCTCCTACAGCTAGTATGCTCTTCTCTGCTGCTAGGAGGGCCTTCTCAAGGAGGTCAACAATGAGAGTGGTGGGGCAGACTGAGACGAAGTGGTCCCTGACTACGCGAAGGGAGTCAGGGAGTCGGGTCACTATGTAGTAGAGGGTGATGTACATGGGGGGGGGGGGGGGGTTCTTGGCGCAGAACTCAGCAGGAAGCGCAGCGCGGTAGCGAGTGTCACTAGTTTGGAGGTGTGTAATGAGGTCAGCGAATGTGGCAAAGGCAGCAAGGTCAGGGAAGAGGTACGGTAGCATGAGGCGGCTCAGTGCAGCAATGGCAGGGGAGGAGTAGCGTGCAACTACAGCATCGTACAAGGTCTGAGCACTCTTGTACTAGCTAAAGTGTGCACGCTCAGAGGTAGGCAGGTGGCGACGCACAGCAAGACGTGCAGCAGCATCGCGTATGGCCCACTGTGAGCGAACAGTGGCGTCAGCATCGGCAGCGGGGGCAGGGGAGGCACCAGAAGTGAGGTCAAAGAGGGAGAGGCCGTCTGCCCTATCGCACTGTAAGAAAAGCTGCAGGTCGTCTACCCAGACGTCAAAGTCAATGGCCCGACCCTTAGCGTCAAAAGTGAGGACACTGGGGGTAGCCATGACAGCAGTAGACTAGCAGCGCAGGCAGTGGGGTGAGGGCAGTGCTGAGAGAAAGGCGCTGCTCTTACCGGACAGGGCGGCTCGGGCGGCTCGGCTGCAGGGCGACTCGGCGGCTCGGCTGCTGGGCGGCTCGGCGGCTGGGCGGCTCGGCTGCTGGGCGGCTCGGCTGCTGGGCGGCTCGGCTGCTGGGCGGCTGGGTGGCTCGGCGGCTCGGCTGCTGGGCGGCTCGGCTGCTGGGCGGCTTGGCGGCTCGGCTGCTGGGCGGCTCGGCGGCTCGGCTGCTGGGCGGTGCGGCGGCTCGGCGGCTCAGCCGCTGGGCGGCTCAGCGGCTCGGCGGCTCGGCTGCTAGGCGGCGCGGCGGCTCGGCGGCTCGGCTACTGGGCGGCGCGGCTGCTGGGCGGCGTGGTGGGGCCGCAAGTAGAAGCGCGGGGGGCCGCACGTGTAGGTGGCGGGGCCGCACGAAGGAGCGGGGGCCGCACGTAGGAGCGGGGGCCGCACGTAGGAGCGGGGGCCGCACAGGTAGGTGGCGGGGCCGCAAGTAGGAGCGCGGGCCGCACAGGTAGGTGGCGGGGCCGCAAGTAGGAGCGGGGGCCGCACAGGTAGGTGGCGGGGCCGCACAGGTGGCGGAGCCGTCAAAGGTAGGTGGCGGGGGGCCGCACAAGTAGGTGGCGGGGCCGCAGGCGGCTGCAGGAGCCGGTAGGCGCGGCGCGAGGGCCGCGAGGGTGGGGCGACGAGGTCGCAGGGGCGGCGCGACGAGGCCGCGAGGGCGGCGCGACGCGGCCGCGAGGGCGACGCGACGAAGCCGCGAGGGTGGCTCGACGGAGTCGCGAGGGCGGCGCGAAAGGGCCGCTAGGGCGACGCGACGGGGCCGCTAGGGGTCGAGAGAGGGGGAGCGCGACTCGGGGAGGAGAGGAGGGCGCTCCGGGCAGGAAAACAAATGCGGTGGGCCCTAAGAACAGTTCCCACGAGGGAACCTCCTCGATACCAGCTCAGAATAGGTAGCGTGAATGGATTGAACTATGAATCAAAACAGAACAAGTACCAACCCTAATTGGGTTGTACCCCTTATGGGCTACCCCACTACAGCCTACACAACATGCATCAGCTATAATAATCTGACACTCCTCTCTCCCCTGGTGGCCCCTTTCTCAAAACAGGCTGCACAGGCAACATGTCTCTCCAGCTCCTCAGAAACCTCATCTCAAAGCCAACTGCCCTTATTCGTTGCACTATTCTTACCTGTATCCAGAGCTGTTTTCAGAATACATTGGCATTGAAACAAAAATTACAGATACAGAAGCAAACAACAAAAATTAAGCATCCAATTTCCAGCCACAAAGCAGATCGGCACGGGAAGCGAGCAGTCCAGAATCCTGCATCATGTATTATGCTCACCCCTTGGGCTGGATGGCCAACCCATGCATTCCCCAACATCTTCAAAAATACTTGTTTAAACTAAATCTATTTAACTAAATATCTTGCGCGTGCCACTTACCATCTAGGTGCAATGCGTCATGCATGCAACGCATTTGATGATTGATTGTTGAGGCTGTTTGAGGAGTAGGAAGCATGTAAGTGCACCACATGCGAACTTAGTCTACACCTTATCAGCAACACCTGGTTGGTAACCAGCATTAGGCTTGTACTGGTCTCCAGCTGGGTATGACCCCATGGCTGGATAGCCTGTTGCTGCTGCAGATGAAGGATATTCCACCTCAATGTCTGGAAAAGGGCACGAAAAGAAGGCCAGGTGAATGGATGTGTTTTACATAAGAGCTTAAGGAAAGAAGCAGATTGGCGGACCAAAGCACGTAGGACTGAATGTTGGCTTGTTGATATGACAGAGTAAGGCAACAAGTGTTGTGAATGTACATTCATACACATTTCCACTGTTTTGGATTGTGAATAAGGAGAAAGGAGAGATAAAGGGGTTACGGAAGGTGAGGAGAACCAAAAGGGGGAAACGAAGAAAGGTGGGCAAGGGTGGAAAGAGCAGTACGCAAGGGCTTCAAGCTTTGAAAGGAGTGATTTTCTTCCGAGATGTTCCGAGATGTTGTTCACTGATGAGCTCACCTTCTGTCTTCTTGCAACACTGAATAATGATGAACACGACTGCAACGGCGCCAATGACCACCAGAATCACCCCCACCACAATCCCCACGATTGCTCCAGTGGACATGCCAGAGGAAGAAGAAGAGGCTGTGCTGTTGGCATTAGAGGAGCTCTGCACACTGTTGTCGATGATGTTGGTGGTGCTGCTGCTGGTACTACTAGTGCCCGAGGATGTGGGGTCGGTTGGGTTAGAGGTCCCATTACCAGGAGGAGGAGTGGAAGGAGGGGATAAAGAAGGAGGCGCAATGGAGGGGGGTGTGTACGGAGGCTCATAATCGTCGATTGGGGGGGATTCGGAAGATGGTGCAGCAGAGGAAGGTGCAGCAGAGGAAGGTGCAGCAGAGGAAGGTGCTGCAGAGGAGGTTTCAGCAGAAGGGGGTGCTGCAGAGGAAGGTGCAGCAGACGAAGGGGCTGCACACAAAGAACACAAGAAGAGGGGGGGATATTCCCATTAGACACTCTCAAGTATTCGGCCATTCAAATTTTCAACATGCAGCACTTCAGTTTGAAACATGAAATTTCAACATACGGCCATTTGAAAATTATCAATTATGAAGATGCAGTTTGAAAAAGAAATTTCAACATACTAGCTTTGCCCAGGTTGAAGGATAGCTAATCAGGGCTGATCAATTTTGCATGAAACAGGGAGTTCAATAGGCGTTACGAAGTAGGAGTGGCAGAAAGCCAGCTCACCTGCAGGTGGGGAGATACAGGACTGGCAGAAGGGCTGGCAGGCGATGCATAACCGCCTCCGTGAAAGGAGGACTGCTCTCGGACATTTCATAACTGGCTTCGTGAAAAGACAGCTCACCTGCAGGCGGGGAGATGCAGGACTGGCAGAAGGAATAGCAGGCGATGCAGAACTGGCTCTCGAGCGACTGCTCCACCACACAGTCAGTGCCGCTGGGACATTGCACTGTGAAGTCATACTCCCTGGTGGGGCATGCAGGGCGTGATTAGATATAAATGGACTTAGATGGAGTGAGGTGGGTCAGGTTCAGAGCAGCTGTTTAATCGAAATGCCCCTAGACACCATTCTTGTGCACCAAGGTTGAGCGGAGCAACATAAATCCTGAGTAGATCTATGGTTCCGGCATGCTTGGTCTGGTTGGTCTGATGCTGGCAGCAATGGCAGAGCAATGAGAACAAAATTAACTCCAGTGATGCACATGGTCAGCACTAGAGAGCAAGCCATGTAGGTGTGCGGTGCGTATGACCGGAGCAGGTTGGCAACGTATGCACAAATGTGAGGTCTGTTTCTTATAGAGTGCTTCGTGCTTTGGTTAAATGACTCCCTTAGGCGACTCCCTTGTAGCATGAGCGTTAAGATAGTTTCTTACAGTTCACTTTTCAGCTGGCTCGAAAGTCACTTCAAGCATGAGCGATTCCCTTTAAGGTAGTTTCTTACAGTTCATCGAGGTTGAGTGCGCCAAGGGTGGCCGGCAGGGATCCCGTGAGGTAGTTTCCTTTGATGCCACTGCAATGGTGGGCGGATGGAATGTGGATGTCATTTGGATGGCATGTGGATGTCATTTGGATGGCATGTCGATGTCATTTGGATGGCATGTGGATGGCATGTGGAAGGCACGTGAATGGAATGTGGATGGAACGGCACGTGGATGGCCTGTGGATGCCATGTGAATGGGATGTAATATGTGGTTGAAATGTGGATGGCACATGGGTTGAAATGGTGGCGGTGTGATTGTGTCAGATTCGTGCCTAGAAAAATGACCGGATATGCCAAGCATCGAGTCGTGACAATTGTGAATGTTACAAGGGAGGTGAGAGTTATAATCAGCATGCACACACTCGGTTATGTGCATGCATAATTCATCCATCTGCATGCATACATTCAGCTTTATGCACGGAAACACTCAGCCATTTGCGTGTAAGAAACTCAGCCATCTGCATGCAAAAACTCAGCCATATGCATTTAAACTCTCAGCCATATGCATGTAGACACTCAGCCATATGCATGTAAACACTCAGCCATATGCATGTAAGCACCCAGCCATATGCATGTAGACACCCAGCCATATGCATGTAAGCACCCAGCCATATGCATGTAAGCACCCAGCCATATGCATGTAAGCACCCAGCCATATGCATGTAAGCACCCAGCCATTTGCATGTAAGCACCCAGCCATATGCACGTAAGCACCCAGCCATATGCATGTAAGCACCCAGCCATATGCACGTAAGCACCCAGCCATATGCATGTAGACACCCAGCCATATGCATGTAAGCACCCAGCCATATGCACGTAAGCACCCAGCCATATGCATGTAAGCACCCAGCCATATGCATGTAAGCACCCAGCCATATGCATGTAAGCACCCAGCCATATGCATGTAAGCACCCAGCCATATGCATGTAAGCACCCAGCCATATGCATGTAAGCACCCAGCCATATGCACGTAAGCACCCAGCCATATGCATGTAGACACCCAGCCATATGCATGTAAGCACCCAGCCATATGCACGTAAGCACCCAGCCATATGCATGTAAGCACCCAGCCATATGCATGTAAGCACCCAGCCATATGCATGTAAGCACCCAGCCATATGCATGTAAGCACCCAGCCATATGCATGTAAGCACCCAGCCATATGCATGTAAGCACCCAGCCATATGCATGTAGACACCCAGCCATATGCATGTAAGCACCCAGCCATATGCATGTAAGCACCCAGCCATATGCACGTAAGCACCCAGCCATATGCATGTATACACCCAGCCATATGCATGTAAGCACCCAGCCATATGCATGTAAGCACCCAGCCATATGCATGTAAGCACCCAGCCATATGCATGTAGACACTCCGCCAAACGCATCCATATGCATGCATACGCACAGATAGGTAAGCAGAGGGAGCTCCCCCAAAAAGGCCGGCACGGAGCCCACAAAGTTGTTGTATCGAAGGCTCCTGTTCGCTCGCAAGTGGTTGGTATAGACGCACATGTGATTGTAGGTTGGTATAGACGCACATGTGATTGTAGGTTGGTATAAACGCACATGTGTTTGTAGGGAAGGGACGGTTATGGAACGTCATGCCGTATGAGTTGATGGGAAGTAAATTAGAGGAAGCTCTTCCAGAAAGGCCGGCATTGATCTGACCAGGTTGTTGTATCTAAGGCTTCTATTTTCGCGCTTATCTAAGGTTGTGTAAGCCATGGATGGTGAGGCCACAATTTTGGACAAATAAATGGTCATGTTGCTGCTTATCCATGTAATGCCAAGGTCATGAGTTGCTGAGGGAATACGGAGTCCCCTTGAGGCAAGATGGGTGCAACCATTCAACAACCCGTGGACTACCCTCTATTCGATAATCTAGAAATACCATTTGAAATGCGTGAAGATCCAGGAAGAGCATGAAACTCGATTTTTGAGTCGACTCAGAAATCGTGAAGATCCATGATGCGCATGAAACTCACAGCATTTGAAGTCCTGTGAGAGCACTCATCCCTGAAGGAATGGAGCCGTTGATCTGTGAGTTGTAGAAGCTTCTGATGGGGGTAGTCATGCCATCAAAACAAGTGGTGTAGATGGGTTAGGAGGGGCACACTCATGTGAAGGCACATGGATGAAGGTGCAATCCATGAGGTATGATGCTGGACAAAACGGGGCAAGAGAGAAGATACCACTAGACGGCATGTTTATCCACGTATGCCTTAAAAAAAAAAAGGTTATAAGGTGACAATATGGGGTTGGATGCATGCGAAAAGGCTTGCATTTCGAGGATAAAAGGCTTTTCGAGAAGGGCTCAAAGCTCCACGAGATTGGTGAGAACAGAGACGGTGCGGGGTTTTTAAGGTGCCTCAATACTCTTTCCTTGAAAGCGAAAAAGAGCAAGAGAGCGTGACTTGCAGAAGACTTACAGCTCTACTAGGTTGGTGAGAGCAGAGATGGTGCTGGGGATGGTGTTGCCTGTGCGGTTGTTGCTTTTCAAGTTCCTGGTTGTCGGTGAGGGGGTGGGGGGAGATTAAAGGAAGTGGGAGAATTGGGAGGGGCATACACATGCAAGTGATGTGCATGACACTGGGTTTGCATGGCAGGGGGTGTGCACGGCACGTGATGCCAGTCATGCTGGGTGTGGATTGTGTACGATGCTGGTTGCCCTTGTTTGTGGGGGAGGAGGTGTTGTCACGAATCTTCTACACGCACTGCCCATGCAGCGGACCATCACATGCAGCGGACCATCACATGCAGCGGACCATCACATAGAGCGGACCATCACATGTAGCGGACCATCACATGCAGCGGACCATCACATGCAGCGGACCATCACATGCAGGGTACCATCACATGCAGGGTACCATCACATGCAGGGTACCATCACATGCAGGGTACCATCACATGCAGGGTACCATCACATGCAGGGTACCATCACATGCAGGGTACCATCACATGCAGTGTAACATCTCATGCAGTGTACCATCGTATGCAGCATGCAACCTCATGCATTGAACCAACAAGTGCTGCTTACCATAATATACAGATCACGCAATCTTTTGTTCGCACAGATGCTTACAAGATTCGAAGATTCGTCAGCTTCCCAATGCTGTCTGTCAGCGGGCCAATCGCGTTACCCTCCAGCGTCCTGCAGGGGGTGTGGTTGGCAAAGAGTATTGTTTAGTGTTTTTTGGCATAAAATAACCTGTCGTTCGTACTATACTGTAGCTCAACAGGTGCTTATCATTAAACCGAGGGAGTTTAGAAAGCCCTTTTTCGGCACATCAAAGGCAGATTTATGACGGCTTAGTGAGATTGTTGAGTCTGGATTGGGATTCAAGGAGCGAGGGGCGCGTGTGGCGTGTGGCGTGTGGTTGGGGTGAGGGGTGCGTGTCATGTGCAGATTGCTTACAGCTCAGTGAGATTGTTGAGTTTGGACAAGGAGTCCGGGATGGACCCAGTGAGCTTGTAGTCCACTCCATCCCCAGATATGATCCTGGGTAAAAGAAGGAGTAACAGTGGCGATGAGACTTGGGAGGAGAGGTAGCTGGAGAAAGCGAGACAGAGAGAAGGAGAGGGGTGGAGAGGGATAGCGAGGGAGAGAGAGGGAGAAAGAGGGAGAGAGATGGAGAGAGAGGGAAAGAGAGGGAGAGAGAGGGAGAGAGAGGTAGAGAGAGCTAAAACGATCATTGAATAGTTTTCACCCCTAGGGTTATTAACCCTGAGCGTGATTTTCAGCAACTGCAACCAAGGGCGCATGAGAGTGCCTCACAGGTACTGCAGGCTTGACATGTTGCCAAAGGACTCGGGAATGCTGCCGTTCTCTATTTTATCAATCTTCCTGTGAAGGTAGTGGCGTGGCAGGTGGGGAGTGGCACGGGGGGATTGGAATGGAAGAACAGAGAGCATCAAAGAGCAGGGCTGATAAAAGGGCAGAACTAAGCATGAAGGAGCGGCATGCATGAATCAACATTGAGCGTGAAAGTGAAGAAAAAGAAGGGAATTATACACGGATAAGAGACAAAAATCGAAGAGAAACAGGGAACAGAAACATACAGCCCTTGCAGGTTTACAAGGCTGCCCAAGCCAGAAGGGAGACTGCCTCCAACATCCGCAGTGCCAAGATACCTGCCACCACAACAGATGAGCTTTTGAGACCACGGTTTCTCAGAAATCCGTCATGATGATCGGCCATGGAGTAGAAGAGGATGAAACGAAGAGGTTGAAACGAAGAGGATGAAACGAAGAGGATGAAACGAAGAGGATGAAACGAAGAGGATGAAACGAAGAGGTTGAAACGAAGAGGATGAAACGACGAGGTTGAAACGAAGAGGATGAAACGACGAGGTTGACCCGAAGAGGATGAAACGACGAGGTTGAAATGAAGAGGTTGAAACGAAGAGGATGAAACAAAATTGCGTCTTTGCTCTCTCCCTTAATCAATATTTCATATACCTCTTTCTTTTCTTCATCCTCAATCGACCCCTTCCCCCCTCTTGTCGACTCCCTCTCTACCAGTCTCCCTCTCTCCCCCTCTCATCCTTCTCTCTCCCTCTCAAGCACTCTCAACCTCTTCCTTACAGGCTTGTGAGCCGAGAGAGGCCACTAATGGCGTTTGGAATGGTGGGAATGCCGAGCATAGGGGACCTGTATCAGGGTATTTGGAAGGGGGGGGGGGAGCAAGGGGTCAGTGGGGAGGTGGAGAGAAAGGGTGGAGAATACTCCTCTTTTTTCAGACGACTCCAAGACCATGTCTAACATAAGGCTGCATCGAAAGCAGGACTGAGTGACGGAGTTCACGTGCGAACCACTGCTATGTGGTGAACGAAGAGGGGGTTGTGCAACACGAAACGAAATGTTTAAATTATCATGTTGTGCAACTTTAATCTGCTGCTTACTGTAGGGAGATTATGTATCCCTCAGCATCGCAATCCCGATAATAGCTTGAGGTGCAGTCCCGATCGGAAATGAGGGTAACGCCCCATGCCGTCTCTAATGCCTCCAAAAAAGGGACTGGTTGAGTGGGTTGTGAGAAGGCGGGGGATTGGCGGGATTAGATTTTTGGGCCGTGCACAAATGTAGTGCGAGCATGATGCTTTGCACGCAATATCATGTCAGCAATGAACATGGTATTATGTACTTTCTTTTCTCTGCAGGATCATACCTGAAAATGACTCGTTATCACAGCTTGAGCTAAATTGTGTCGTATTTGTTATTAGTGTTTTCTTGTAGGTGATGGCCGCACAACTCACTTATGCAACGCCAGTGGCGTTAGATTACTTCTAGTACTACTACTCACTCTGCGACGGGTGTATGAACGGCAGCGCTGCTACAAGCCGTTGGTCGCAGGAGTGGAGAAGGAAAAGGAAGAGGAGGAGAAGACCAGAGGCTGGCGTGGTTTTAGGTAACATGGCCATCGCACGTTCGCCCGACATAGGATTTGAAGTGCGTACTATTATGAATCTGAAATGCTAATGGAGTCTTGATTGGCGAGGTAGGTAGGCGATGAGTTAGAATGTAGGCGTCGGGCGTTTGTGCTGTGGGTTGAGTCAAAATTTTATACATTCAAATTTTCAAGGATGGGGGAGAAAGTATGTGAAAAGAATATTCCCGCCTCGTTCAGTGTGGTGTGGTGTGGAATTTTTTTACATGCTTTGAATCCTTGCCCAGCGACAGCGAGGAAAAGTGTACGCGTCAGCATTAGCTGAATCAATGACACGGCGTTGAATGCAGGCGCGGTCAACGCGCTCCAGCACTTCCTCTTCGGAGTCAAAGCTAGTCATCATCGTGTTTCGCAATGGTCTTCCTGGGTCCTTGTGGTATCTGACAGGTTACCCAGTCGTTCCACCCAAGAACGCAAGTAACGTGCGGGGAACTATCGCAGACGCGAACTTCGTCAGACTAGGCGTGGAATTCGTAGTTCGTGATGGATCACGAACGAATCTGAAGTAACTGTTTTCGCAAAGCTGTCAACGCTATCGCACGTTGTCGGCGATTCACTAATGAAATTCGGGATAAGGGCGTATCAGAGAAACGCTAACGGGGTTTTTAGTCGCGATGACTTCTGTCCAGTTTGCCCCAATATTTGACACTTTTGTTCTGTACACAAACCTGAACGGCCACCCAAATATCGTTAGGGCGTGTAACATTGTTGCGACCGAGGCCAAAATCCGACCAATTGGTCGTTGTATTCGACTTGCGAGGGTTGTCTGAACAAACACCTGGGGCGTCTGCTGTAAATTCACAATGACCATGGTTTTTGTTGAGGTCGAATTTACAGGTTTGGGGTTTCGGGTTGTTCATCGAAATTGTTCGCGACACTATGAAGAGTCACCAGCTTTCGGTGCGAAACCAGACGTGCACATAACGAAAGGTGACCAAAAATGTTGCGACAGGGCAGGGCTGTTTTTGTGTCTAATTTGGTCGCACGTATGGTTTTTCATTTGGGGCGATTCCCGACATGGTCATTTATGCAGTCGTTTTTTCAGAAAATCTCGCATTCATCGCCATCGTGTACCCCCTTCGCTCCGCTTGAACCGACCAAATGGTCTGATTTCGGCCTCGGTCGCTCAAATGTTACACGCCCTTAGGCTGGTTTTCCCGCCCCATTCACGTTCAGGGTTTCGAGTCCAAGCCAAGTCGGTACTTCAACTGTCGCGAACGATGGACGAAATACGTAGCGAACGTAATGTGGCTTCGTCCTGCGCTGGTTACCCTTGAAAGAAGTCATTTCTGACGGAAGAGTTCATCTCCCTGTTCTTGTTGTCAATGTCAGAACATTATAGCTTATGCTGTTGTGTAGGCTGTAGTGGGGTATCCCATAGGGGGTACAACCCAATTAGGGTTAGTACTTGTACCCACTTCTTCCATAATTCATCCATTCTCGTTTCAGTTTTCTCATGGTATCGAGCAGGTTCCCTCGTGGGAACTGTTCCTAGGGCCCTACTACTGCTTCCGCTGCTACTCGATCTGTCGCACGCCCCGTGGCGTGCGACCTATTTTGGCGCACGGCGATCTTCTTTCTGGCGCGCGCCCCGAGGCGCGCGGCCCCGCTACCCCGTCGCGCCGCCCTAGCGGCCGCGTCGCGCCGCCCTCGCGGCCCCGATCCGCCGCCCTAGTGGCCCCGTCACCTACCCCTGCGGCCTCAGCGCCGCCCTTCCCGGCCCCGGCTCCGCCCTTCCCGGCCCCGGCGCCACCTCGGCTGGCCCCGTCGCCTACCCCGGCGACCCCGACGCCACTCTTCCCGACCCGGCCCCGCCTCTGCTGGCCCCGTCGCCTACCCCTGCGGCCCCGGCGCTGCCCTTCCCGGCCCCGGCGCCGCCTCTGCTGGCCCGGTCGCCTACCCTGCGGCCCCGGCGCCGCCTCTGCTGGCCCCGTCGCCGCTCCACCCGGCCCCGCCGCCGTCCCCAAGCGGCCCCGCCGTCACCACCGAGCCGCCGGCGCCGCCGAGCTAGTGCCGAGCCGCCCGAGCCACCCGAGCCGCCGGGTCGCCGAGCCGCCGAGCTGCACTTGCTGCCGAGCCGACGTACCGCGAGCCGCCCGAGCCGCCGAGCCGCCAAGCCGCCCGAGTCGCCCGAGCCGCCGAGCCGTCCGAGTCGCCCGAGCCGCCGAGCCACAGTTGCTGCCGTGCCGCCGTGCCGCCGAGCCGCCCGAGCCGCCCGCACCGCCGAGTCGTCGAGCCTGCTCTTCCCACCACTGGTGAGCCCCTGCCTTACTACTTGGCTGCCTGCCTTACTGCTGCTACTCCTGCTCTTGCTTCTACTGGCGGAGCCAGATGCAGCCCCAGCGACGTCCGCGTGAGTCCCTCACGCCCCAGCAGCTGCGTGAGTGGTACGCTGGTTGGGGTTGTAGGGGTGGTGGCGCTACTACTGCTACTACTACTGGCGACGGCCAGATGCAGCTCTAGCGACGCCCATGCGGGTCTCTCACGCCCCAGCAGCTTCGTGAGTGGTACGCTCAGAGTAGAGGGTCTCTCAGTTCTGTTCGCTGCTCTTACGTGATTCGCACTGGTGCTCGGACTGGTCAGCCTTGTGGGACGCCTAGTCACACACAGTCACGCTGCTTCGCCCGTCTGAGCGACGCCTGGCGTACCGAGTTTGGCGACAAGGCTGAGCTCCCCGACTGGGTGGAGTTGCTTAGGCAGAGGGTAGATATATTTGCTCTTGACTATGATGCTATTCTCACTGCCATGTATGCTTTGCCTACTAGTGCTGACCGTGCCGCTCACCTGTGCGTACCGCCTGACCCAGGAATAGAGCCTGCTGCTCTAGCTGCTGGTGAGGCTGCTGCTCTGGGTGCTAGTGAGTCTCCTGCTCCAGGTACAGGTGCGGCTGCTGCTCTAGGTGCTAGTGAGTCTGCTTCCTCAGGTGCTGGTGAGTCTGCGCTCTCAGGTACTGCGTCGGCTTCGGCCTCCCACACATTCACACTTGACTTGGGGGCTTCTCGCTCCTTCTTTCGAGACCGCACCACACTCACGCCGCTTGGTCGGCCAGTTGCAGTCTCCCTGGCAGACCCCTCTGGGGGTCCTGTCCTTGCTCACTTCTCCACTGTCCTCCCGTGTCCGGCGGCCCCCTCTGGCACCCTGTCTGGTCTTTACCTCCCCTCGTTCTCTACGAACTTGGTGAGTGGTGCTGACCTACAGGATGCGGGGGTTCACCAGTTCACTCCTGCGAGCCAGCGGGTGAACCACT